TCTTTCCACGTAATTGATCTAATAATATTTTCCTTACTTCCTTTTGTTTGCTAAAAAAGAAAAAAATCCATTGGGAGAGAGAAAGGAAGGATGGAAAAATCCCACCCTCGCTTTCTATCCTATTTCTGTATCTGTTTTTGGTATTATAGAAGAGCAAAGAAGTTTTTGTTTGGTGGTTTTTCATTGATCAGTCACTCTGTGCTAATGTAATTATCCTCATCAATAGAAGGCTGCAGAGAGAATCATTATGTGGGTGACATTGATAAATGATCACCCAAGAGCTGCCTTTTCTCTCGGGCACCCCCACATCTGACCCTCCCACATACACAAGGTAGCCATAGAAACACCTTGAGATCCTCAAACACTGCTGCAAATGGGAAAATACACCCAGGGAGAGAAACCCAACTTCACACACTTCCCTCCCCACTGCAATCTCCCTCCAAGCGGCGAGCAGCCTCCTTGTGCAGCCCGCCCCTCCACCCCGTGTGCGGCCGGGTCCTCGCAGCCCTGGAGGGACATTGGGGCTCCGAGCCCGGAGCAGGGGGCCCTGCACGGCCCTTCCTCCAAGCCTTGCGGGGCATGTCAGCCCCAGGGCTTCCCGAGTCGGTGTGGCCCAGCCCAAGCCTGGCGGGCCCAGCCCTTGGGGCAGAGCCTGGCTCGGGAGCCCTCTCCCAGGGAGGCTGCAGGACTTTTGCCGGGTGCCTGTCTGACGCACGGAGCTATGCTTCTTCTCCAGCCCCGGCCTGCTTGATTTAAGGAAATCTCGCGAGCAGTAATTGATTCATAATGATCCATAAATCGATGCGGAAAGGGGCGAGGGTGTTTATTTATTTCATTCCTAAAGCTGCGAGCAAAGTAGCTGTGACACAGCGTGGGGATGCGGGGAGGAGTTGTTTAGCTGTGCCGGGTCATCCATCATCACTGTCGCAGAGACTCTGCCCAGAGGAGCAACCTCCCTCCTGTTTGCCTCTTTCTCTCCACCAAAACTATTAATATTAAAATCTGCCTTCAAACACTTTCCCCCAACAGTCCCCATTCTCAGCACAGCCCGGCTCAAAGATGCCGGGTTTCCCCCGGCCCCAGCCATGAGCCATCGCAGCAGCCCGCGACGTGTTACAAAAAGTGTTTCAAAACAACAACATTTGCTCTTCGCTTCAAACCCGGCGCAGACCTGGGAATCGCTTTAATACGGAGCCCTCCCCTACCCCATCCCGACGCACACCATGGAGGCACATGCCTGGAAAGCAAAAGGACTGGGGACGGTTTTTGCCCCGGCTCCACTTGCCTTGTCTCAGTCACTTACATGAAAGGTGCAGTTAAGCAAATGGCTCCTGGATCCTCCCAGGGTGTAGAAGTGCCGCGGGGAGAGAGCCCTCCTGCTCCTGGGCACACGCTTGGACGGCAAGACTAATGTGGCCCTTGTGCAGGAGCACTCCCTCCTTGCTTCAGTGGGAAACCGGGGCCCAGGTCGTGACAGCTGCTAGATAAATTTGCCACCTTCAGCCCACCCTCGCAAACCTGTTCTGGGGCCATTTCTCCTTCGCTCGTGTATGCATGAGAGCGAGCCCGAGCCTCCCCACGAGCGGGTCCTCTCCTGCCCCAGGAAGGGCAGACAGCCGCCTCCCCTCCGCCTCTTCTCGCCGGTCCGACTCCCTCCTTGGCGGCTCCAGCTCCCTCCCGCAAGCGCGTCGAGACGCAGAAATTTGGGATGCTCTATACATGTGTATAAACAAGAAGTGTTTTCCTGTTACCCTTCGTTTCCCAGAGCATAAGCAATTTGAGTCAGACTGCAGTATTTCCTTTAACGCTATAGCGCTGTCAAAACACTATTCCGTTCTCCTCTGCTTTTGACAGCTGAGCATGTCTTAAATATACCCAAATCGGAACCCTCCCTGCTAACTAGTAAACCTCAGATAGGAGCGAGCTCTTTACATTACAGCACCTTGGATTTCAGTAACGCATCTCACGTAGCTTACAGCCCAGAGGGGGGAAAAACACCAATACTAATATTTAGTTCATTACAAAAAAAAAAAAAAAAACAAACCAACAGCAAAAAAAAAGCAATCCCCCCCCCCCCCCGTGTTGATTTTTATACATTTTTCCTCATTTCGCGGGGGTGAAGTGGCAGCAGATTCAATTTTTTAGAAGTAGCTTCCCTTTGTGATGCAAAGCCCACCACCAAATCTTTGCTTCGAACTTGTTCTCTCATCCAAACTAATCAAAGCCTTGGGAAGACAGGATGTGCGTTTCACACTGGAATGAAGAATCGAGGCAATTTGAATCAGGGCAGGGGAAAAAAATGAAAGCCAAATGTGGAATCCATCGTCCTTTACATTTCAGATGAATGCCTTAAAAACCGCCTACAATGCAGGACCCGATTGCTAAATAAAACCTCACACCCTTCCACTCACATCCTCCCTTCTGTTGCAAGCAGCGTGGGTCCATTTACTCAGTTCAGAAATTAAACATTAACTGTGAAGCTTAGACTCTTTAAACATTCCAAAGGGAAAAGTTGTCAAAGTTTTTAATAATATACCAGCCAGATGGAGGGGGGAAAAAAGTTAAACATTTACAAATATGCAAACATTTGTTTCCTAGAAAGTTTAAGATAATGAAGGTAATTTTTCTCCCAGAAACAGAGATCAATAACAAAACTGGATCCTTCCCCTCCTATTGGAGCCTGATCCTGTTCTCGGAGAAGTAATGAGAAAATTTCCACTGACTGTGTTAAGAGAAGATCCAATTTCCAACAGGAATGGTTTCTTGAGAGTTAGAAAATAGGGTCACCCCCCCCCCCCCCCCACTGTTATTTCAACCCCCATGTAGTTACTTCAAAGCACTGCAACTATCGGGTACTGTGGGTAAATAAAATCCTCCTCCTCCTGACAGTTCTTTAGCATCTAATTTTATTTTACTGTACATTTAACGTTTTTGGCTAATTAATTGGTGGAATCTTTTTTTTCTTTCTTTCTTTTTTTTTCTCTTTCAAGAGACCGATTCTGTTGTCTTTATGCAGGCAAACCTTTGCATTCACATCAGCAATGTGCTTGCCTGCTTAAATCCTCTGAACCACTCAGCCCTGTGCTACAACCATTCCTTATCTCTATTTTATTTTACTAGGTCCTAGCTATAGACCAATACACCCAACTCTTCAGATCTAAATATAGCAATGAAATATTACTATGGTTATAAAAATATAATCTGATGAAGTTATATATGGGTTGGTTGTTTATCTCCATGTGGGTGGGTGCATCATTATATATGTGTGTATACATACACACATGAATCAATTAAAACCTCAGATGTTGTCTAAGATTATGGTTAGTGCTATTTGGCTTAGTGTTATTTTACCAATATTATTTTCAGAATTGTTGGTAAGATTTACATCTTAGTTGGGGAAATGCCTAACAGAAGTATTTTCTCCTAAGTATGATTAAAAACACAAAAGCCTAACAAAAAATCAAAAATGAAATATTTATTACCGCATTTTGTGACTTAACACCTTTTTTTTAAAACATAACGTCACAGTCCTCATACAAGTATTTTAATGTAAATTTTGACAAAGCTTAAAGGTAACAGCATTTTCTTCTAGTGAGGAACACGTGCTGAGAAAGGAAGAATTCATGGACATACAATACCAATTCCACAGCAGATCTGATACTAGCAAAAACATTCTTTTTTTTTCAATTGAGGTAAACACATAGAATATCTAACATGAAACAATTAATAGACCGAACTCTGTACGAAGTTTGTTACAGTATTCTCTTGCTTTTTTCCCAAGGTTTGAGTTCATGATAAAGTTCTAGGTTTGGTGCAAAGACCATTAATAACATCTTTCATTGAGGAAAGCTGCCCAACTTTTAGTTTTGTTTTGTCCAAAGCCAAGGCTCAGAACTACTGGAAGAAGCTCCTGCTCTGTCTTTTAAATCTTCACCTGCAAGCTCTTTGAAGAAGAGTCCAAAAAAAGGGGGGAGAATGGGGCTTATGAAGCACAAACTATAAAGATCTGTTTGAAACTAAAGGACACATTTATGAACAAAACCAGGGGATGGCAAGGCCTTCTTGGAACTGTCTTCTGAGTGATGAGAGACCCAGCAAGACTTTTCATCTTCATCTCCAGGGTAGTTCTTTTCTCACTGGCCAAAACAGGTCTGAAATATACTGTAGTCT